CAAGCAGAATTTTGTTTTAAGATATACACACTCATATATACACATCTCTCCTTCAAAAACAAAATTCTGCTGAGAATTATATTTTTTCAACAGAATCGTGTTAGAATTTTGATTCCAAGCAGAATTTTGTTTTATCATATACACAATCATGTATACACATTTCCCTTGTGTTTCCAAGAGGTTGTATTCATTTAACATATCATCAATAAACTATCCGAAATATATAAGAATTGATGAATTCAATATGGCTGCTACATGATCAGAATTCTGGCAGAATTCTGATATGATTTAATATTATATTAGTAGCGACGCCATATCGTTTGTTTTATTTCGGAAATTTTTGTGTCATATCAAAGTACTTTTCAAAAAGAAATTTGGAAAAATAATATTATTATGAATCAATAAATCAGAGGCTTTTGGAGAGTTACGATTGGTGGATTGTATACTGTTCACCATAATGAAGTCCAACACTAACGTGGTTCAGTTAAAAAAACACATCGTTGCAGTGGTACATCATTAGCTAAATATTTTGTATCAAATTTTCAAATGGCTTTCATTTGTCGTAATATTGACAACGCCAGTCAATTAAAATTCTGGCCGGATGTTATGTTCTCATCACCAGTAGAAAGGTATATAAATGAACTTGGCGATGTTCATTCTATCCATCCAGATTCTTTGGCTATTGTACTTGTTAATCTTGTTGCTGCAACATTAGAATTTTCTTATGTTTTACGAGCGAATTCCATTAGTAATAAAATACCGACAAACTTGTTCAATTTAATTGTAGCTCGATCATGTAAGTTTTGATATATATCACATATATATATATAAAATTATCTTTTAGCGTATGGTAAATCTGATTTAACAAGATTATTACGTGATATGCTAAAAACTGTTGTTTTACATCGACCAACAAAATTTCTTTCAACAAGCCAAATCGCTGTAGGTAGTCAAGTTAATGCAAGTTTGGATGAAATGTCAAAAGCTGGATTAATGTCAGGATTAGATGAATGTTGTCGCACCGTCATTTGTGATGAAGCCGATATGACATTTGCAGATGTTGGTTTATTTCTATCGAATAACGCCTGTCGTACGTCTGCCGAAATGAATTGTCGAGGTTATTATTTTTTTTTCCTTTTATCGTTACTTTTGTGTTTTTTTCAGCTTTAGTTATGACATTATTTGATCGTGTTTCGCATGCCTACATTAGGCAACTAGCGAACCGTTCTGTGTCGGTAAAACGATCTAAACTAAATATCCTAGTATGTTTATTATTCTTATGATAATAGCTTTATAAAAAAATTTTAGACCGACTTGATCATAAAATCCCTATGATTATCATGTCCCATTCTTGAAACATAATAAGGAGTGTTTTGGATCATTAGCATATCGAAATTCGAGGAAAAATTGATACTTCATATTGAAACAATCTTGTCTCGAGTCTTTATTGAATATTAACTCTGGAATTTGTTGAGTAAATTTGATTATTTTCTTAATGGCCATCATAACTTTTACATGGAATAAATTTTTTTATTACCTGATGAAAATCTGATATTGAAAAAGAAGCATAGAAACTCAATACTTCATCGGTAAAGAATAAAATAACTAATGCAAAAATTAAATAAACAAGCACATGTTGATAATTTTGATTTAAATAAATAAAAAGTACTTAATAAACATTCTCAATAGAATATGGTATTTATCCATTAGAGATATGTGAAAAAAACGTAGATAATAATATAAATATATTCTTGAAGAAATTCTATAATAAACAATTTGTGAAACTCTACAATAAATAATGATTGGAATACTATGTAATGAGAATAAAACATGAATGATAGAGGCTTTTTTATTCGCCTTTTGCACTTAATCTTCGTAAGCAAACTTCTCGTGATGATATTACATATCGATCTAATGTAGCTGAGCATATATATTTTCAGGATATAAGATCACTTGTATGCAGCACATAATATCAGGATCTAAATTTTAAAAGCACATTGTCTTTTGTTTTTGATTATTGAAAAGCATCCGATATAATAATAATAATCAAAGGTGGATAGAGAAGTTGTAGTAGCTATCATATATTGCCAAATTCATTCATTAATTTTCTTTGTCTTGAAAGTATGACAAAATATTTTAATGAATTGATTTTGCAATACAGTGTCCTATAAATTACTCTATTTGTTTTATTTTTTTTGCCAGGGTTGCTCAACTGGTGATATCATTTCGAACATGATTATTCGTATGAAATCTGGTGCATGTTTTGATCCAGCTATTGGTCGATTTATCTTCTGGCCTCTCGATGGACCAGTCATTCCTGATAAATTGATGCAACGACAAATTGACAATAATTTATCTGCTTCTCTCCATCAGTTTGTTGTCACTTTATCATTTGTCGAGAATGCAATATTCTCGTTTGAAGATGATGCAATTGCCGAAATGATTACGTGGGGTAATATGTGCAAACAAAGAAGTAAAATTACTTAATGCTAAACCATAAATATAAAAAGTGTAAATTTAGGTTTTGACGAACGCAATACAAACGAAAGTTTGTCTGCCCGTTTAGGCAAGGCTGTGCAACATGTGTATCGTATGGCATCTTTTTTACAAACAATTGAAATTGGTTTCGACATTTGTCAAGACTATATAGAACATTATCAGCACTTTCCAACAGATGGTACAATTAATGCTGATTTTATCGATAATATTTCAGATCTTTTTCATTTAAAATATCCTTGTCAATTTCGATTACATGAACCTGATCCATTTCAAATTTCGAAAGATGTTGCCCTTCGTGCAATTGACTTGATATCTTGCAATATGCGTCAGTTTATCATGTTATTCGACAATACATATGCTCCAAAAGTATCGTCTATAGGTCGACAAGTTATCGTACTTTCACCAGATCAACAAAAAAGTTCGTCCGATGATCCATCTTCAATTCAACATAAAGAGTTTATGAATTTGAAACGTAAGTGATATTGCTGAAATAGTTAAATAATGTCCAATTCATATTGTAAGGTTTCCAGCATTTTCAGACTTTTAGTAAAATTTATTGACATTAATTATCATTGAAATAGTTGATTTTATTAAAGCTTTCGTTTGTTTTTGTGTTGTAAAATATCTCAAAAAAAATAATGCCTAATAATTTTCTATCTTTACTTACGAGTAATAAAAAAACAAAGGATGCTAAAACAACGGGAAGCAATGTATAATGCTGAAAAAAACTTTAGTAAAAAAAGTTTTAATTTTTATAATACATTTTGTAGAACGTCAACGACACATTCTCAATTTCAATAACGTTGCAGCGGCTGTAATTTTGTTTCCAAGCCTCTGTTTCACGATGAAACAGTTACATCAATCTACAATTATTCACAACAATTCAGGTGGAGGTCTTTTAAAGGAAGTTATGAACAAACTAGTTCATACAGATGTGTTAGCCATTTGTCCGCGTGGTGTAAAAAGTGCATCCAGAACGACTTGTGTTTATATTAAAAAATTACCACTTGAGAATGATGCTGATGCAGAACAAGAATTGTTCTCAGTTTTATCAGAATACACATATAACTCAAAACCTATTTCAATTGAATTGTACAGAAAGTCGTGTGAATCAATATCATTGGTAGCAATCGGAACTGTTCAAGAGGACGTTTTTCAATTGTTAAGACGTCCAGAGTACGGAGCTCGTGATCTAACTGTTTTAGTCAACTTACCAAAGACCAGCAATTCTAAAATTGACTGTTCTAGTAATCATAGTAATAGTATAAAATTTTTACATTTGTGTTAATATTTATCTTCCGTTGTTGAATTTGTTTTTAGTGTTCGTTCATACGGCACAAAACAATGACTTTGGTGAAAATGATATAGAAGAAACCATTGTTACCATGTCGTCATCTTATACGAATCAATCCAACAAATGTTCATCTCATATTCCACTTCAAGTAGAAGAAAATCTATTTGATAATCTTAATTTTTTTGATGAAGAACAGAATGAACATTCGAATTATATTAACATTCATCATGAAAAACAAAATAAAAATTTAAGTAATGTTGGCGTTTGTGAAGCTATAGAAAATATTAGTTTGATTGATGTAAATATTTTTCATGAAGAACAAAACTATGATATGCATAGTGCTGATACTTCTGATGTTCAAGAAAATATTAATTTGAACAATATTAACATTTTTCATCAAGAGCAAAATAATGATATACATATGTTTGATGTTCCTGATGTTGAAGAAAATATTAACTTGAATAATATTAATATTTGTCACCAAGAATCAAATAATGATTTAAATCAATCTGACGGTTCTGATGTCGATAAAAATATTAATTTGACCACTGGCAGTATTAATCATCATGAAAAAAATGATGATTTAAATAGATTTGATGTTTCCAGTATCGAAGAAGATATAATTTCAAATGATACCAATATTCGTAATAAAAAAAAACGTAATCATTTAAATAATATCTTTTCCAGTCCGGCAGCCTGGCGAACACGATCAAAATCAAAAACAGCAACTGTAATGGATCAAGAAATAAGTATGCTAATTTTTTTGTTTCACATTAATAATCCATAAGAAAAAAAATTTCATTTAGCTATGGTTAAGAAAATTGATCGATATAATAATATTATTGAAATAAAGCGTAAACGTAAAAAAGATGATAAACCAAAAAACTCTTCTAATAAAAGAACTCGGAATTAATTTTTTTTTGTGCTCATCTTCAAGTATGTTAGCCATCAATATATCACATTTGAACTATCTCATTTTTGTCATCAATAGTGTCATATTAAGTAGTTAGATTTTCCCTGTGAAACTGTTTGTGACATTTGATTCATCATCCTGTTATTTAGTAATCATTTCTCGGTGAAGTTCGTTTTATTTACTCACTTTGTCTATCCACATTTGTAATTTTTTATGTCATGTCAGATAACGTGTAATTTGAAACTTCATTTCCGTTCTATTTAGCTTAGGCTATCCACTGTTATCTTGTTTCTTTTTCTTGTTGCTAAGATTTGAAAAATAAAACTTCATACATTTGTATCTTTTCTTTGGTATCTTTTTGATTCTCGAATGAGATCTCTTTCACATTTTTCAAAGTTTATATGGCTAACTCATTCATCGATATCCTAGCTTATAGCTTATAATTCTAATTATTATAGTTTTTAGATAAATTATTATGGTTTTGAGCACTTTGGCTATAAGCGTATGTCGACCTTTTTTTCAGAATCGATTACTGTTCCCTATTGTTCGTATCATATTTTAGCGTCTCACACGTGGAAAAGTTGAGGATTTACCATTGGAATTACAGGTTTTGGTGAGTATTTACATGTATTGGATTGAATATTGTTTGATGTATTTAGGACATCCATCGATTAAGTGATGATGTCTGCGGTGTTTTTATAGCTCGTCTCAAGCTATCTGATGGCAATAACTTTTACGGAGGTTCGTATTACTGAATCAAGAATACTGAAATTATACTATTTTTTTTTTAGGTTTCGTAATTGATGTCTCAATCTTGGAATCAATACAAGTAGATGTATACGCTATTGTTCGTATCGAAAAACTGATGATTTTAAAACATTCAGAGGGAAAGTTAGTAAATTTATCTTCTGCTAATTAACTATTCTCTTTTAGATATGTTTTACAAATCATTCAAATGCAATTAATTTCACAAGAGAATAAGTGCATTGGTAAACCAGAGCCATATTTATGGCAATCAATAGATACTTCGACATCTATTACGACAAAAGGTCTTTTGGATAATGTAGTAGAACCTCCTGTACTGGAACACCTGCCTGCCACACTTGAAGTAATTCCTATTGGTCAACTTTCGGCTTCAGTCTCAAAAAAGTACGGTGTATTTGACATATTGACCAGTCACTGATTTTTTTTACTGTTTTTATAGAATTGCTATAGAGGGTCGTGTTATTCGCAAAAGCGAACTTTGCAAATATGGAAATGGAAGTGGAAAGTTTTTCGTGTTCGATGTAGTTGATTTGTCGTCTGAAATTCGATGCAAAGTTTTTAATGATATTACTGATATGTTTTTTGAAGTAATTGTCGTCGGCCAGGTTTGTTTAAGTCATTATGCTTCATTAAGCTTCGAACCTAACTTTATAGGCTTACCATCTGTCTAATTTTATTATAAATCGCACCAATAAGCAGTATAATCATTTATCCCATGATTTTGAAATAAATTTAACGAAGAATTCTATGATTAATCAAATACCTGGCGATGAATTTCTGAAAGTGAATACTGCCCTCAACATTGTTAAAATCTCCAGTATTTCGTTGAGCGATATTGGCAAATGCGTCAGTTAGTAATATACCATTGTGTTTTGATGAATTTTAATACAACGATACATATTTAGATCTATCTGTTACAATCAAATCAATCGGCGATGCCGATTGCATTTATGTAGTCAAGAGAAAGAGCTACTCGTATAGACGTGTTATTATGGTATCGGATGATACTGCGGATAGTAACATAGTATTTTGGGGTGATTTGGTTAGTGAAACATGTATTATTGCTTTGAATAATTCTTTTTTTTTCTATTCTGTTTAGGCCAAGAAATTTCATGCACAAGTTAACCAGGTCGTCTTATTGAGAGATTTGCTTGTCCAGTACTTCAACGGTAAGAAAATCAATCACTTGTAGGCTATTGTACTCTTTTTGTGTTACAAGGTCAAGTGCAATTTGCGACGACGATGATGACCCTCGTTACATTACAATAACTAACTGACTTGTGTGATTTGACTCTTTTTATCTCTTGACAGCAACTTTTTTTTATCATTCGCATATTTATGGTCTGAACGATGTTGTTTTTTTTTTATTCTAAGATTGTTTACATGGGTAATACGACTAGTGATCCATTAGACCATAGTTTCAAGCGTCTTCGCTTATCTCACACAGAACAACTATCTCTTACATCACCTTGTTCAACGTCTCCAAGAAGAAAAGTAGTGACGAATATTATTCAAGACTTCGGGAGAATTTCTAATAATCCTGTAAATGACACCAATGATCGATCACCCGTTCTTTTGTGTGATGATAACACTTCTGCTTCGTTAACTGCTCGATTGTCGAAACCAATCATAAATACAAGTTGCAATGAAAAAATTACTTTAAATAAAAATGTTACTTCCCGTGTCGAGTCATCTGCAAGACCTAATATTACCAATCAGGATAATGATTCTAAAAATGAAGAATTAACTGATGAACAAATAATGATTACTCTTCGTTCAGTGAAATTTATTTCAGATTTATCAGACTTAGATATAATTGATTGTTTAAAACATGAATATCTTAGCACATCACATTAATAAAAAAATTACCGTTTTATGTCAATCATTTGTATATATTGCAAGTTATATATTCATGTTGCTAATTATATTTTTCGATTTCAATGTGATGCTCGTATAAACATGTATTGAGGTTGCTCAGATTCTATATATTTTGAGCATAATGAATAGATTTATACCAACAAGCTTTAAGTTATGAAGCATATCAACTTATCTAAGTTTGTGCAAAAGTTAAATAGAACTGTGTAGAGAAATATGATAATAGTTGTAACTTTTCCCGCTTCATCTTTGTGTTTATCATGGGGCATAATGGTCTCCTCTTTTGTATTTCAAAATAAAACTTATTTAAAAAGTTATTGCAAAGAAAATTAAAAAAATCATTAACGATTTCATTCAAATTTTGTCGGCTTTGATCTGTTGACTTTTAGAATAAATAATCGTGCAATTATGCGCACATCTTCTGTTGTCATCGAGCGTGTCAGCTATTGGTTGGAATATTTTACTCTTGCAGAATTAGTTTTCGTATTAAATGAGGATGCACGTATGTCTCCCTTCGACAAATTTCGTTTCAACAAAATAGCATCAGCTGTTCGTCATACTTTTATGAGTGACCAATCAGATCTACATGTTAAAATGTTAATTGATGATTTATCAACTGCATATTGTCAAAGCCGTCCACTTCACAAGCAAACGTCAGTATCATCCATCATGATTCGTCAAAATGAAAACCTATTAGTACCATTTCAATCATCTTGTCCAAAATGTAATCAAAGTTTGGATGCATCAGATGCCATCCAGAGACGAGTTCGTTTATACTGTCAAAATGGTTCTGTCGTTACTGGTATGCACTCTAATGTTTTGAGGCTACTAAAGACATAATTCATAGAAGATTTATATTGTGAAACTAGATGCTGTCCGAAAAAAATTTTATTCAAATCAAAATGATTCTAAACTGTGTTTCAAAAAAATATATAATAGAGTTTTATTCACTAATTACTCTCAGTTATCACTTTCTAACTGTTCTATGTGACATTGAAATAAAAACTATAATTTACTATAAAATATCAATAAATAGCAGTAATTAATCCTTAAAAGCTAATAAAATATTCAAATCTACCTTAAGGAATGGACACCTAATTGTTTTGGGAACTTTCTCTGCATCTAGTTTACTTTATTAACTTTTAGCTTAAATTCATTTTAAATTTTCGAAAATGCATTACAAAACTTCGCCGAATACTTCATTCTAGGTACGATGATAACTCTACACTGTTATCATAAAAATTCGAATCAGCTCTCCAATGATGATAAGTCTCTAGTTATAATATATCCAAACTTTAGTCGCATCAATCAACGTAATATTTATACCCATCAAAGTTTACACCATGGTAAATATGTATATTTGGGTGGTGATGTTGCAATTGAACGTTCTATTATTGACAAATATACTGCACAAATTATTCATCACGACTTTTCTATGATCGGAACAGCAGCTAGTTTGAATCAAGAAGCATTTAATCTTGGCTATTATCAATTCGCACTTATTGAGCGACGTTTATTAAGTAACATTATTCATGCATATCTCATTATTCAACTTGATTTATCAATGGGTTATGCTTGTGTATCGACTCCTTGTTCTTTAGAAGATTTTAGTCAATGGGCTTGGGAACAATTTCCACGTCTTCTAACCTGTTTCATTTATTTATGGACAAATCATCGTACTTTAATTGGCTCTTGTGGCGAACATTGTTCAAAATGTCTAATTGTGGATGGTCACCAAAAAGTCCGACGTCGTATTTGTGCTTTTAAAGACGTCAAAGTGGAAACAGAAGAAATCAAAGAACTTGTGATCGGATGTTGTCGAACTCCTCTTCGCCGTTCTCGATTCTGTCAACTTCATAATCAAGAAACAATGGTTCCCATAAGGAAGCAATCAAACCCAATAGTTCAAAGAAGAAAAAATATCCGAAAATTTATTCGTCGATTTTCCAACAAGTTGCACGACAAAAATGGTCGTTTAAATTTAACCAATTGTCGCACACTTAAGGAAAGATCTGATCAATGTATTAAAAAGTGTACTAGATCTTTAGGAATAATAGCTCTCGTCTCCAATTGTCGAATAATTACTTCTTTTAGCGAATTATACAGATCGGAGACACTTAGAGAGATTATTAATCTTTTTGCTGTTACGATAAGAGGTATAAATGTGTTTCAAATTATTATACTTAGTGTTCTAAATATTTTAGTTGCTGATCGATTGGCACCCACCTGTGTGTATGATGACGGGTGTCATCTTGTCCAATATATCAAAAATCATATCGGCAACGAACTTGCAGAAACGCCAGCAATGGTATTACTTCACGCAACACCTATTAGCGTTGACAGAAGTCACTTTCGTAATCATGTTGGTGTATTCTGTCGAAAAACAATGAATCCAGATAAAAATTCACGTTTGTACTGTAGTTATTGTCATATTATCAAATTATTTTAATCTATAGTGTTAAAGGATGTCAACACACAGGCTGCAGAACAAACTTTCTCTTGGTTAAAACAATATTCCCAAATCATCAGTAATATGAATTACCTACGTGCTCCACTATTCATGTTGATCTTGTTCCATTTAAAAAATCTGTCGATGGTTAGAAGATCAACATCATTTATCTTTGATGTTGTGAGTTCATATTGTATTAGAAATCTCTTAATACGTAGCTTCTTTTCGTAGGCTTCTGCAATTCCTAAAGTTCGCGGCGTCTCTCTTTGTCACTTGGCTGATAATACATTTCAATATTCTCCAACTTATCAACAGAGCCTTGCGATTTCTATCGATGAAAATTCGACTCATGCATTAGATTTTAATCAATTGAACTTACCTAAGGGACCCACAGATTGGGATACTAAATTGCGAGATATTATGTGTAAAAAGAATTAAATTAGATGCATCTATTTTTCGTTCGATTTGTATTAACTTGTTATTGATTAACTTACAAGCGACTTTCATGCGAAATTTCCAATTTAACAAAACTTGAAAAAAATATTCATATTATAAATTTTCTTCGAAATAAAATAACAAAATTTACATAAAAAATATAGTTATAATAATTGTATATAATGAAGTAAGGCTCTGCTAGGAAATTAGAATCCTAACACAAATCTGCTGGGAAACATAATTCAAACCAGAGTTTTGTGTGTTATGGGCCAAGAAGTCTATATGATGAAAGAAAATTCTACTAGGCAATTAAAATTCTAACACAGTTCTGCTGAAAAAACATAATTTTAAGCAGAACGTTGATTTTGAAGAGGAGATATGTATATATGTATATATATGTATATATCATTGTATATATGATAAAACAAAATTCTGCTAGAAGATCAAAATTCTATCACAATTCTGTTGGATAAATGTAATTCTAAGGAGAAAATTGATTTCAATTTGAAGGAGAGGTGTGCATATATGATTGTGTCTATGATAAAGCAAAATTCTGCTGAGAAATGAAAGTTCTAACTCAATTCTGATGGGAAGGCATAATTCTAAGCAGAACTTTCATTTTAGATGGAGAAACAAGTCTATAGAATAAGTATGTATGATAAAGCACAATTCTGCTGAAAAAATATAATTCTCACCAGAATTTTGATTTGAAGGAGAGATGTATATATATATGAGTGTGTATATCATAAAACAAAATTCTGCTTGAAATCAAAGTTCTAACACGATTCTGCTGAAAAAATATAATTCTCACCAGAATTTTG